TTTATCTTCCCCCCCCCCCCGTGACAAAGGTCACATTTGGATAATCCCCCCCCTCCTCCCCCCTTTCACCCCCCACCAATGTCACCTCAATCGCCTTTATCCACTACAAAATCACCGCCGCATGTGTTATATTTTTTTTTTTATTGCCACCAAACTGACTCCCGTCTGACTCGGACTTTGTTTTGCGACGCATAAAAAAAAATACATACATATAAAAAAAAAAAACTACTCTTTTTTTTAATACTCTTTCCATTCTCAGTCCCCCTCTTAGCTCGGCGCTCGACCGTGGACCCCCCTATCAGGGATAACATCTCAACAGCGAGAAACCCCCGACCTTAAAAGGCAGAGGACCACTTTCTCGCGCTGACTATGGCGATCCGTTGAAGACGAATCACTTAGAGCGCGCCCCCACAACCCGCCCCCCCCCCGGCCTCGATGAAGGGGGGCACCAATTAATCCGAAGACAGTTTGTGGTGGTTTTTTTATTCGCGTTCCCGACAATCGACATTCCGACGGCGATTCACGCGTCAGTGGACACCCCGCGGGGTGGCTGACTCGGGAGGGACGGAGTCAGAGTTAAGTGAATGACTCATATAAAAAAAAGCGGTCGGCTATTAATTGAATACATTGATTTTTTTTGGAAAGTGTTCAGGGTCGAGGCGGGGGGGGGGACGGGGACAGGAGGGAGGGAGGGTATTTAAGTACAGTCTAGAGTGGGAGTCGTGTGATCTCTGTTTCAAAGAGGCGAACCTCCGCAGCACCATCTCATCATCTGCGTAAGCCTCAACCAATCCATCATAAGGCCAACTCGCATTTCTCATGCATCGCATTTAACTTTAGCACCGGTACATCACATACAGCACCCATGCCCCATCTTCACCACCCATATCTTACCTTCAGCTCCCTGGCCTCACTCCTCAGCACCCGTACCACATCTTTAGCACCCCATAATTTAAAATCAGCACCCCAACCTCAGCTTTAGCACACATACCTCCCCTTCAGCACCCATGCCTCAACTTAAGCACCCATACCTTACCATCAGCTCCCAGACCTTACCATCAGCACCCAGACCTTACCATCAGCACCCAGACCTTACCATCAGCACCCCAAACCTCGACTTCAGCACCCATAAATCACCTTCAACGTGCCCATACATCGCTATAATCACCCATGCGTCTCCTTAGCACACATACCTCACCTTCAGCAACTATACCTCAACTCCAGCATCGTACATCACATTTGGTACCATTCATCGCATTCAGCAACAAAACATCACCATCAGCATCTATACCTCACCTTCACCACCTATGCCTCACCTTCAGCAACCATAACTCAACTTCCACACACGAATCCACCGAATCTTTGGCACTTCCTTTAACCGATTTTTGAAACGAAGTGGCTATTCGCACCCGGGTACCAGAAGTGAGAGGTTGGGATTAAAAACTATTCAAAATATTATTGTTGGGTTTGTAAGATAAAATGAGGTATCTAATGAAAGGTAATTGAATGGAATATACGTTTGTAAACTTACTTCTTCAGTTTAACTAAAATAAACTACCACAAATGACATCCGAATAGCATTGAGTCTAATGGGACCCGGGTGCGCATGGCGGCGATGCGTGCCCGGTTCCATTTTGACTAAATGCTATTCTGACGTCATTTGTGGCAGGTTATTTTAGTTAAACTTAAGAAGTAAGTTTACAAACATATAGTCAGTCCATTCAATTATCTTTCATTTGATATCTCATTTTATCTTACAAAACCCAACACTAATATTTTAATTAGTAGTTGTTTTTTTTTCAATCCCAACCTCTAGCTTCTGGTACCCGGGTACGAATAGTCGCAGCCTTCTTGAAACTCTGGTCAATGCCAACCGTTTAAAAAAAATCAATTTATTCATACGCTTTAAAAAAAAAAAAAATTAAAATTATTTAGAGAAAAAAAACAACTGAATTGTCAGGACAACTTTTAAAGGGGTCATTGAGGTGAGGGTTATAACGTTATGGTCATGTTGAAATAGATGGACACCCCCAACCCCCTTCGACCACACGCCTGCCTCCGTGGATCATGTGTTCAGGCCATCGCAAGGACCCTCATGCTAAGATTCTTCCGCATCGGCGAAGCAGGGTAAAGCCCCCTTGACATGAAAAAAATACAGCATTCATCCACACTCGTGCGATTCTTGAATTATGTACCTCACTACCCCCCCCCCCATCACACCCCCTCACCTCCCTCGCGCTATGACCGTCTGGCGAATAACCCGAACCGCAAAGAATGAGAACTACATCGGCGAAGCAGGGTAAAGCCCCCTTGACATGAAAAAAATACAGCATTCATCCACCCTCGTGCGATTCTTGAATTATGTACCTCACTACCCCCCCCCCATCACACCCCCTCACCTCCCTCGCGCTATGACCGTCTGGCGAATAACCCGAACCGCAAAGAATGAGAACTTCTGCCGTGGAAATTAATCGGCCGATGCCGTGGAAATTAATCGGCCGATGCCGTG